CATGACCACTGTTATCTTAGTATGTCACATCTTCCTGGCATCTCTTTCACGCTGCAAAGTCTTCAAGAGTAAAAGCCATGCTTTCTAATTTTTCAAATCTCCTTTTTCCATCCAAGCACTTAATTCAGTGTTAAGCACAAGGTACTTGGTAACAAAACAAATCTTTCTTATAGGAAAATAAATAAAAATAAGAGAACCAGCAATCCTTTCTAAATATATTGTCTTCCAGCTTCCATAGGAAGTTGTTGATTAGTCCATTTGACTCCACAATAATCCTAGGAGGAAACAGAGCAAGGAGTCATGATCTCTGTTTTATAAAAAAAAGAAGTTTCTCATAGGTTAAGGGACTGGACTAATAACACACAGCTAGTAAGGTCCCTCACAAAACAGCTGAAAGAGTACCAGACTCTGAAGTTGACAAAAGGCAGTAAATGCCTTGAAGATGTGCAAAGAGTAGACCCTCTGGGAGGATCCAGGAACAGGACCAAGTGTTTAGGCAACTAGCCCTTTGGGGATGTGGCACACCCTGCAGCTATCAGCCATCACCAGCTGAGCCAGCAAATAAGCACAGGGTTGCAAACAGACCCTGGAACCCTGGCTGACACAAACCTCCCCTACTAAACATAGGTGTCATGAGGCATAGGGCTCAGCCTCTTTCAGCCCCACTCTCAGGAAGAGCAGGAAGTCTCTCCCTTTCAGATGTGTAAGTGAGGGTGGCCTGGCCCCCAGGCAAAGCTAAGACTGCTAAAAGAGCAGGTGGATTCCAGATGCTGCTGCAGCTGCCCCCCAGCCAAAGTCAACCCCACCATTCAGGAGAGGTGGGTCTGCACAAAGGCAGGCCAAATGCCTGGGGAAAATGGCAGCAAGGAGAGACTGGGCCAGGGAGGGCTTTGGTCCCATAGCCCCCAAGGAAAGGGTCGACCATGTTCCATGAAACTTAAAAGAATCTCACGTTATCAATGTTCAATGATACAAAAATTTGCAGGGCATTTCTGTCTTCCTTTCTTTTCTTGATCAAGTTAGATTTTACTTTCAGACTCAAAAGAAAACTTTCTATCCCTTAAGACCCATAATCACCTAACACCTAATTTTTATCCTTCCTAAGTAGAGTTGGACTATAAAGAAAGATGAGCACTGAAGAACTGATGCTTTTGTTGGAGAAGACTCTTGAGGGTCCCTTGGACTGCAAGGAGATCCAACCAGTCCATCCTAAAGGAAATCAGTTCTGACTGTTCATTGGAAGGACTGATGCTGAAGCTGAAACTCCAAAACTTTGGCCACCTCATGCGAAGAGCTGACTCACTGGAAAAGACCCTGATGCTGGGAAAGACTGAAGGCAAGAGGAGAAGGGGACGACAGAGGATGAGATGGTTGGATGGCATCACCGACTCGATGGACATGAGTTTGAGTAAGCTCCAGGAGTTGGTGATGGACGGGGAGGCCTGGCGTACTGCGATTCATGGGGTCAGACACAACTAAGCGACTGAACTGAACTGAACTGAAGGTTGACACAGTAAGTATCTGATACTAATTTTGGAAGGTCTTTTGAGGGATACAGATGTGGCCTGCCTTCAAGAAACTTACAGTCCAGTAGAGGGGGTGGAGGAAGATGTTCAGGAAGTGATTGTTAAAAAACCAGAGAGCACACATGATTAGGGCACACCAAAAATGGGTAGAGGGAAATGGGCAAGTAAGGTCTACTTTGATGATGAGAGAGTAGATGGCATGGGCATGCCTGGAGAGAGGAATGAACACAGCAGGTGATTAGTGGAAGAATGATGGAGAGAAAGAAGAAAAGAACAAGACTTTAGGATGTTTGAATGATGATCAGGGTGAGGCAGAGTCAGGGATGATAGGAAAATAGAGATCAGAGTCAGGGGTTGAAGAAGAGAGACTGGGATCCAGGAAAGGAAAGAGAAAAAGCTATGAATAAGTCCTTACACAATACGTAAATCTGCTTAAACACTGAAGCCATCTCTCCTTAAAACTGGAGGTCAGAAGCATAGTAAATGCTCATAATCTGTGGCTATTATGTGCCAGACATTGGGCTTTAAGACACTATTGAAGACACATTTCATCCTGAGTGTTAGGTATTTTCCCCACTATATAGAAGAAAAACCCAGGCTTTGAGGTGTTCAATAGGACCAAGTAGCTGGTAGCCCAAAGAGCAGACCTTCAGTCTCTGATGCCAAAGCTTTTAAATTACTGGCTACGCTACCTCCTATGGGCTTATCAGGTGGCTCAGTGATAAAGACTCTGCCTGTCAATGCAGGATACTTGAGTTTGATCCCTGGGTTAGGAAGATCCCCTGGAGGAGAAAATAGCAACCCAGTCCAGTATTCTTGCCTGGAGAGCCCCACGGACAGAGGAGCCTAGCGGGCTACAGTCCATGGACATGACTGAGAACACATGCATGCTAATTCTTAGGAGATCTTCAAGACCAACTTTTCTATTTTGGTTTAGATCTACACTGTTTAGGACATCCCTACTTCCTCCTTAATATTGAGGGAGTGCAATGACATTGGAAATAGCTTAACTTAGTTGACCAGATTACAGAGTTCTCTTTTTGAAGGTGATATAGATTTTGGCTGTCAGTATTTGTTGGGTCTTTGCTTTGCTTAATATAACCTGGTGGCTCAGCTGGTAAAGAGTCTGTCTGCAGTGCAGGAGACCCAGGTTCAATCCCTGGGTTGGGAAGATGCCCTGGATGGAAGGAAATGGCTAAACCACTCCAGTACTCTTACCTGGAGAATCCCATGGACGGAGGAGCCTGGTAGGCTGCCGTCCATGGGGCCGCGAAGAGTCGGACACAACTGAGTGACTTCACTCTCAATTTTCACTTTCCTGCATTGGAGAAGGAAACAGCAACCCACTCCAGTGTTCTTGCCTGGAGAATCCCAGGGACGGGGGAGCCTGGTGGGCTGCTGTCTATGGGGTCGCAGAGTCGGACATGACTGAAGTGACTTAGCAGCAGCAGCAGCTGTTCACACAGTTCTAGCTAGCAGCCTTCTTGGGGAATCCCCAAGCTCTGTTCTCCTTGAAAATGGCTCTTTTGGGGCAAAGCAGCGAGCTTCATGATATGCCCTTGCCAACCAGAGCTGTTGTGATTGTAGGGGGAATCACTAGCCATCTGCCTATCTCTTATCTCACCCTGCACATCTGCCTTGGAATATTAACAAAGCCAGCCTGTGGAGAAACCATTGTGGGTATCTGCTTAAACGTCCTGCCCCCCAGTGCAGACTAGATAACAAATGGTTTTCAACTGGAAAGGAGCTGGCTGTAATCTGACAAACCTTTACTCGAAGTCCTGTTCAAAGTAAGTATTACTATTATTGTTCTTGGAGCTGCCGTGGGTTTCCTCCCAGCATAGGCACCTTAGTTAAACCTGCAGGAGGCATCTGTTATCTGAGGGTGATAACTTTAAGGAGTCCTGGATCTTAAGACAAAGGGCAAGACCAAGTTGAGCTTCTGCTAGAGACCTCCTTCTCTCTCTCTGTCCCCAAGTAAATATTTCATGGATTTATAGGGATATGTGGGAAGAAAATAAAGCCATTTATTTTGCAAATAGCAATGAGGCCTGACACTCAATCTGACAATGGCAAAATCTCTCCTTAAAGACAAAACAAGCGAGCTGCTGCCTTTTCCTCTACCTGCAGAGATCCAGATGCCTATGGGATCCCATATGGTAGTGCCAGTATTAAAGAATGCTGCCTTTTAAATATATTTTACTACAGTAGGAAACACTTAGGCTTTAGGCCTGATAATTTTGGATGAAGCCCTTCATTTACTCTGGAAATCTAAGACATCTGAACAGAACTGGTATTAGAATAAAGAACATTTCCCAGTGGCTGGAATGCAAGAGGGCAATACCATATTAACAAACCTTTTGTTGTTTGTGAGGTGCTGAGGTCTGGTATGGCAGAGCTGAACTCCCCTCTATTATAGTCATGCAAGCTGTTTAACCTTTCTGTACTTCAAGTGTCTTATCTTTGAAATGAGTATAACGCTATCGGGCACTTTAGCTTATTTCCAAAGATGTCCTGAGACAAAACAGAGAATATCTGTAAAGCTCCCCAAGTTTGCATGTAGAAAAACCTCATGTGCTAATAAATTATAATACCTTGGTTTACATACTGCCTTTACCCTAGAGTTCAAACCGAACTCTCAATCATTATTTCAATTATTGTCTTCCTCTAACGTTTTCCTAAGAGTTTGAGGTTGTTTATGGAAGTTGTATGATTCACTGCATGCCTTTCCTCTCTCCATCCCCAAATCCCAGGAATCAGAGTTTAAACGGTAGGAAACCAAGGCAGGGAGGAAAAAAGCTGTGTGTGACACCTCTCAGCAAGAGTGTAGTGAAGCCAGTAGAGCTGACCCGGGTGTGTAACGCCCAAGCCACGGTCCTTTACGGGATTTATAATTTAAACGGGCCCCAAAGCACGAGATTGGCTGGGGAAATGCCCTGATCGCGGTTGGGCTGCTCGCATGGCGTTGCTCAGATACCTCCGGCCGGGCTCCGACGACGTCCCCAGCCTGCAAGCCCGTCGGGCAGCTGTCGAGCCGCGGGAGCCCGTTCGTGGGCAGGGCTGGCACGGCTCGGCGGCCGCTGCCCCGTCGCTGACCCTCGCGTGAAGCTGCGCGCACCGAGAGACGACATCTTCCCGGCCGGGCCTCCCGCGCCCGCCGCGGCCCGGGGCGGCGGGGTCGGCTCGGGGGCCGAGGACGGCTCGCGCACCCCTCCGTGGGGGGCGCCCCGACTCGCCGGGGGCGGGGTCACGTCCCACCCGGGCCGCCGGGGGCACGGGCGCTGCGGAAACCTGAGCGTGGCCGAGGAGCGGGGGCTTCCAGGGCCACCTCCCCAGGCGCCTCGGGCCCGCGGTGGGCGCGCCGGCCGCCAACGCCCCCGGGCCGTCGCGGCGACCACTCCCGAGCCTGGTACCTGTGGACGCCCTTGTCAAGCGCCCGGAGCTCCCCCCAGGGGAGCCGAGCCCAGGACAGACATGCTACTCCCGTTTCCTGCCCCTTCGGAGCGGCGAGGAGTGGGTGAGGCGGGGCCGGGCTGCTGCACCAAGCAGCCCCCCGAGCCGAGGGCGGACGGGCCCCGCGGCGGGGGCGCCAAGGGCCTGCCCGGGGATGGAGGGCAGGCCGGCCTCGGCCCAGCGGCGGGCGCGCGAGGGGAGGGCAGCCGGCGGGAAGGAGCCCCTTCCCTGCGCCCCCTCGCCCCGGGCAGTCTGGCCGACCCGGCCCAGAGGCCTGACCCCGGGAGACCCCCCGCTTTGAGGCGGGCAACGGCTGCCCTCGCCCAGGCCGCCCGGCCCTCAGGTTGTATGACTGTGACGGGCTGACTGGGGCAAAGGGCGGTTGAAGGGGACGGGGGCGCTTCTCCCCACTGTTTGGGGGGGTGTTGTGCTTTCTGGGGGGTCGGGGGTCACCACCCTCCCAGGCGAGGTGGGGGAGGGCCGCCAGCGCAGCTGGCCGGCGAGGGGCGGGGTCACAGAGGCGAGGTGTGTATTCGAGCGAGGGCGTGTGGGGGGCAGGGCGCGCGCGGAGGAGGATCCGTGGCCTGCGCGCAGGCGCGAGCAGCGGGCCGAGCTGGAGCCCTGGAAGAAGGCCGACGGGGAGCGGGGGCGGTGGGCCGGCGGGAGGGCGGGCAGGCTGACGCGAGGCGGGGCGGGGAGCAGCGTCGGCGTCGCGGGGCGCGGGCGATTCGAGGCCGACGCATCCGCGCGTGCGCGCGCCGGCAAAGTATCCGCGTTAGAGGGGAGTGACGCGTGCGCGTTCACGTGCACCCCGGAGAGCGGTAAGGAGCGAAGAGAGGCTTGAAGGGGGGTGGGAGCTGAAGAGGCGAGCCGAAGGAGGGGTGGGGAGGCGGCGCCTGCGCAGTGCGCCGCGGAGGAGCTGTGTGTATGTGAGAGTCTGACGGGTTCAAAATGGCGGCGGCTGCTTCAGCGGCTCCTCCTGTGTGAGGGAAACAACACCCCTCCCCGGCGGCGGCGGCGGCGGCGGCGGCTGCGGCTCGCAGAACACCTTCCTAGCGGCTGGGCCTGTCGCCGCTCTGTCTATCCTGGGCAGGGGGCGCTCCGGGAGGAGGGGCAACGCCAAGGGGGCCCATCCCCCGGAATCCTTCCTCTGCGACTGGGGAGTAGCCGGGGGCTCGTCCCTCAGCGCGGAGCTCGGGCTGAGGGGGAGACGCGAGGGGACCCGGGGCCCCCAGCCCGGCGCGCCGCGCCGCTCCCGCCCTCTCCGCCCCCCGGGGCCGGGGCCCGCGTTCCGGGGGGCCGGGGCGGCGCGGGCAGCCTCGGGTCGGCCGGTCTCAGCTGATCGGCCGTATCTCCCGGGCTCCGGAGGCGGCCGAGCGGCTGCTCGCCGAGGGCACGGCGAAGAGGGCGCTCCCCGCGGTCGGGGCTGGTCCGGGGCTTGCGCTCGGGCTGCTGACCGCTCGCCCGGGGGAGGCGGGGGCGCCCCGGGCTCGGCGCCGAGGGGTCGCGCTCCCCTCTCCTGACGCCTCCGACTCCCGGTCTCCAAAGCCAGAAGAGGAGGTTTGATTCAGCAACTGTTTCCTCTCTTTTCCGGGTCGCTCTGACCCTCTGGATACTGGATTGATCCACGGAAAAAAACCGAAGACGACGTTTGGGATTTAATTTTTCAGTTTTTGTAATCTTTCACTTCTCACTTGGACAAGAACTCAACGAGCAAAATCCCCGGTGAGATTTCCCCCTCCTATCGTTTACCCCCCTCCCCCTTTGGAAGTTTTGGTTCGTTGTGTTATCTAAAGACTTAATGTAAAGTTTCTATTTCTTTTTCTGATGGGTGAACGAACCATTGAAACGCCTTTCCCGGGGGGAACCCGGTGAGATTTGCCATTTTTTTCTTCTCTGGCCCTGACTGTTCCCAAGCCCGGGTTGTCCTCGCCCAGGGGGTGCAAACACGGTTTGCCTCCCGACTTGGGGTGAGGGCTTCCTCCAGGAGGGCTCTGCCACGAACTGCTATTGCAGACTGTGTCATCGGGTCCTCGGGTCTCGTAGCAGTTTTGAAAGGATGCTCTTAACGTGGCCATAATGTAGTTACAAAAAAGAAAAAAATCTGCATTCTCTGTGGAAGCCATTATCCCTGAGAATTATCTAGGAAAAAGAAAAACCTTGGTATTAGGGATCGACCGTCGCGCAAACCGGTCTTTAATGTTTGGAAAAGATGAATTTGACTTATATGTCTAAGTAAAATAGCTTATTTTATTACTTTAAACAGAAAGATCTGATTAATTTTTGTTTCTGATTTGCAACTCTCTTGAATTTGTTTCAGAGTTGTACGCATCTTGTGTTGGGGTGGTTTGGGAATGAAAAGATCCGGGGAGTTTAGGAAGGACGGCGGCGATTGTATACGGATTTTACTAGAGGTGTATAGGAAATTGTTTTGGAGTCTTTATTTCAATCCTCATTTCTTGTTCTCTTTATGTAGTTAGCCTGTCCTTTTATTTAGTTTCTAATTGCGGGTGGAAGAGAACTATTTTGGTTAGGATCTGGATTAGTTCAGTGTCTGCTTTACCTGGTCAGTTCTAGGAGAGAAAAGTTCTAACCTCGCCCCCCCCCACCGCTGCCGCTTTTTTTTTTTTTTTTGCTAATGTTGCTGTGAAGGGGAGCCTTGCCTATTGTAATCCTGTGGGGAGAAAACAAGTGGTGTAGCCCGACTGTAAGGAACTGAAACCATCTTCTTTTGCCTATAGGCCTCAGACAGTTGTAAAGTGATTGTTGATCTTGGTTTGGAACCACTTGCCTCAAAGCTGAGAGTTTCCATACTGATGAAGAGGAACCCGATTTCTTAGGAAAACTTTAACTTACACATATCCTAAATACTTCATTCCAAGGGAAAAAAGCTTGAGTTCCAGGATGAGTTCTCATCTGTGCTCCTATCATTATTCTTTAGTGTTGCAATCTGGTTCCTAAGGAGGAAGAGGAAGGCAGCCCTGGAGTGGTTTCTTTCTATAATTTCAACAGAAGAGTGAGAGATGGAACCCGAAGAAGAAAGGATTCGTTACAGCCAGAGATTGGTTAGTATTTACTTGCCTTTTTTTTCCTTCAATTTTGAAGCAGAATAACTATTTTGTTTCCATTTGTGAACATACTGTGATTAAAACTTTTCAGATGGCTTTTCTCTGCCCCAGAGGAGGAGGGAAGATAATATCTCATGTGGGTTTTATGCCAAGTAGTTAGAGCCGTAATAGTCATCCTATTTGGAATTGAATGTATAGGTAGCCTTTAACTATTGCCAAAATGATTGTAAATCAGACGATTTTGTGAATTATAGCGTGACAAGGATTCCTAATTTCAAAATACTGAAATTGTAATAAATCTAATTGAGTTAGATTAGAATGTAAATTTTAGGAACAAAGCTATTTGAGGAAGGCTAGTTCTGTATAATTGTTTTTTTAGATTATGGTGTACCAAGATCTGTGGCTCTGAGCTGGGGAGTAGAAGTAAGGTTTTGTTTTGTTTTTAAACACAAATCAACATTGATAGTGTTGAAGGGTATTGATTGAGAGAAGGTAGAATACCGGATGCTGATAAAGTTCTGTATTTTGGGAGGGATGTATGTGATCTCTCTTATGGAAATAAATTTCTACTTAGTAATGATTTGGAGGGAATTAGCTTGTGTCTGCATGTGGATACTTTGTCCTTTAGGCCCTGTTTTCCTCTCAGGGTTTCCCTGCTGGAGTTAAAGAATTTGATTTTTGTTTTTCTTCGTCAAAGAGAGCTTTATTAATACTCACCATATATTCATTTCAGAAATTTGAATTTATGTTTGTAGAGTGGGGAATGAGGAAAGCCACAGAACTGTCTGTATTATGTAAATTTGGTGAGCTGAAAGATTTAGAAGATTAACTAAAGGAATTTATGCTGGTTTTACTTGGCTCTGGATTTTAGACTGAATTTGGAGGAAAAAAGAATGATTCTCTTTTTCTGTTGATCTCCAGACTCTGAGAATAAGCTGTTCTTCCCACACCCCCACCCCCACCCCTTTAATGTGACTGTTGAAAAGGTGTGGTGTATGTTGGCAAGTATTAAAATGTCCAGTAGGCAATAATGTTCTGATAAACCTTATTTCAGAGGTTTGCTTCTTGTCTCCCAGTCTGTGTTGAGATTACAATTCTTTATCTCCAAGTTTTATAAATAAAGTATATCATTAGTGGAATTTTGTACATTTGGGATTTATTTTTTGTTTTGACATTTCTTGAGTTCAATTTTTATTTGGGAAAAGAAAGAAGATGCTGCAAAACTCTTTCCCAGTTAGTTACTGCTATTTGGAATTTGTTTTTATCATATCAGCCAGTAGGATTGCTGAGCTGTTTTGTAAATAAGATATCTTGGGATCTAGTCTTTCAAAACAAGTTTTCACATTTTTTAACAAGGTAGAAAGGTAGTGGTAAGTGTGATTTTTGTCCTGGTAAGTTGTTTTTTTTTTAATTGTAAAATGATTGCTACCTGTTGCACATATTAACCTTTCTTTATCTAGCATATTTTTACTTCTGGTTTGTGATTTTGTAAAAGTGTTGTGTAAGAGGATAAAGCAGAAATTTTGGGAGAATCTTATAATTTTGGGTAATAATCTTGGAGTTTAGAGTGACTGATGTTTGTTTTCCTTTTTAAAATTGCATGACAAAATTATATCTGAAGTGTAAATCCCTTCCATAACATAACTTTTGATCTGATATTGGTGGCTTATTTGAATGGCATTGTGCCTACTGAGCTCTTAATGGCTCTGTGTCCAACACTTACATTACAGAATTCTGTGTTAAGTTAGTTATTTGAGGAATTTTAAGACTAACATGACATAAAGGCTAATTTTTGCAGTAGTTATAACACTGTGTCTCTTTAAAGTAGGTCAGAGTATAGAATTTAGTTTTGCTTTGCAGTTTCTGGCCATGGAACACAAAGTTTGAAAGAGAATAAATGACAGGTATACTAACTTGGCTTTGTGATTAAAGTTTGGTTTCATGCTATATGTTTGTCAAATTGAATTGAATCACCTAGTATATTGATTATAGTGTTACCGGCTTTTACTTCCATATTGTTTTAGAGGACAGAATCTAAACGGTAGTCCCTCTGTGACATATCTTCAAAATAGCTTCTTGGGAGAGAAAATGTAGTACCAGTATTAACAGTCTGAGTCCAGACTCATGTTGGAACAAGACTTCTTTATATTGAGAACCTTTCATGTATCCTAAAAAAAAAATTGTATCCTTACTAATAAGAACATGTATTATTCATGATTGAATAGATCCTCTTTAATGCTTTTAACTGACTTGGATTTGGTGAGATAAATTATGCTGTTTATATCATCTTTGTGACATCATCTTTTAAAAAATCAGAAATAGTTTTTAAAAATTGGCTTTTCTTTTGTCAAACTAGTATTTGTGGAGAATTACACCTTTGAAGATGGTATGTATGTTTTTAATGAAAATATTTTGTTTTTAATGAAAATATTAGTAGTTTTGTGTATAGATTTCTAGAAGAAAGCCAGATAGCTCTCCATGGCAAGTTGACATCCCTAAGGAGGTATTAAAGTGAGAGTAATAGAACCTTCAGTTTTGGTGATGGGTGGTTATTTGGTTGTCCTGAGGTAAAGATGATTTTTTTCTGTATTTCTAGTAAATTTGGATGTGGGACCTTACTGAGAAACATTGTCAGGTACTAATTATGGAACTTTTGTTTCTTAATTTGGTTTCAGGAGCCAGAGTGTTGGAGAAGTTTTGAATGCTTGTCACAGCCATGTATATATAAGTATTCATTTACAGGGAATGTTCTATATAGTATTTTAGAGTTTCTTAGTCTAAAATATTAGTTATATCCTTAGCAGTTGTAGTTGATGATCTTTTAGGTTTTTTAAGTCACACCAATTCTAAGTAGTTCTTGCTATTGCATAGAAAGTCAATGGCAAAATAATGTGCATTAAAGTAAATGAATAAGGTGTAGTTACATTTGGTATGGAAAAAATTCACTAGCCCCTGCCAAAGGCAATTGTAGAAACAAATGAATGACTAAATTAGTGTAAAAAGAAAGCAAAGACAGTATACTTCAGACAGTATGCTTCAGGGTAAAAGAAGTTATGCTTTTTTCTCTTTTATATTTCTGAATACTTTTTTCTCTTGACTTAAGTTAGTACTGTTATCTGAAGGGAGAGATGCTGATTTACTTGAGAATTCATCTTGCTTGTCAATCATGAAGATGAAATTAAGAGATTTTCTAAAGGATGTTATTACACTGTTGGATGCTCAATCCTGTTAATGTGCGTTATATATGATTCTCTCTGAAGTAGCTGAATCATTTATCTGTTGCAGGAAACTGAGGGCACCAAGCCTTTATGATATTCTCACCTTTGAGTTATCCTTAAAATTGTATCCCCAGATTCAGGAGCAATAAACAGATTAACCCTTCTACAAACAGTCCCACTTTAAGTGTACTCTCTCTAAGGTTTTTCTGGCCAGGAATACACCAGGCAACACAAAAACCTAATTTTAAGCCATTTTTTTTTCCATAGCTTAACAATTAAAAAAATTATAGCATGGTCTAAATTGTTGAATTTGCTTATTTATAATTATTCCATTAGACTCAACTGTCAGTCGCTATTGGTGAAAGAGTATATTGTTGTAGTCTCCTTCCTAGTAATATAGGAAAATCTTATTGCCTATTTTTGGTATTCAAAATGCAGATAATGAGAGAGCTAATTCTTTATACTTAAGCATCAGTCTTCCACAGTGACCTGTATTTTGGGGACCCAGAATGAGGGATGTGTTTAAGCCCTGTTACTTGTTTTATTTTGCTGAGCATTCATCACTGTCATACTTAAGTTTGTTTGTGCATATATCTCCATTAGAGTATAAGCTCCTTGAAATTTGGGACTTTGTTTTTGTTTGTGGTGTCTACTAGATGCTTTGAATAGTGCCTGACACATAGAAAGTGCTTAATAAGTAGCCTCAAAAAGAGAGAAGAAAGTACTCTCAGTCTGCAATATATAGAAAATGCTCAGTAAGTATTTGTTGATATTATGGAAACCCCTCATAAATACTTTCTTTTGCTATGAGTTTTCTTGACTGCTAGGAATAGATCAAGAATGGAGGAGAGTTTGGTGTACAGGAATGAACACACTCTTGGGGTTTTGGGTTCTGTAGTATATACATAAGAACCAGAATGCCTAAGCTCTAACAAATGAAAACTTAAACGTTTAGCACACATGCCACATGAACACATTTATAGTATTTAGGCCACTGCGACAAATAAGAAAATATTAGTTAACTGTAAAAGCTCAGTGTGAATTTTAAGTTCTTCCTCAGTGCTCGCTTTGGCAGCACATATACTAAAATAAGTTCTTCCTCAAATCCTGTTAAATCTTCTATGTTAAGGTTTTTGCTGACTTTTAAGATGAACTTTTGGTTGTGAAGTTGAAAGTGATGGTGGTTGTGTTACTCTCAAGTCTTGGTTTTGACTGTTAAGTTGGGGAATGGATACATTTGGTATATACCATGCAGAGGGACATAACATTCTTATTTTATGTCTCTCTTTATTTTTCTTCTTGGGGAATGGACGTCCTTAGTCAGGTTTTATTAATTTGCTCTCTTGGTCTCACTTTTGGGATAATACTGTGTTTTTGCATTGTGCTTTCCTATCAACAGGGATTAAAATTCAGTAAACATTTATCATGTGTTAGGTACTAGGCCAGGTTCTTCCAAACACATTACCTTTAATCCTCAAAACAACCCTGTAAGATAGATGGTATAATTTTAAACCTTAATATTTTTGTTACGGAAATAAAGGCCTAGGGAGCTGCCTTGACTTGACCAGGATCACAAAGTTGGTAAGGGGTGGAGCCAGACCTTGAACCGAGTTTCTCCTTTCACTCCTTATCATCTCTCTTGCAGTGTTTTTCATACAGAAAACAAATAGGTACTCCTGTTGTAGGAAGTTGTAAACTGAGTACTGTATCTTTTTTTGAGGCTACTTTTGCAGTTTCTTTCCTAACAAATCACTGCTTAACATCCTAAATGAGATGGCT